TTTATTGTGATGCGCGGTGAATACGATGCCATTTTAAAATGGCCATTTCATTTCAAAGTCACTTTTTGTATGTTCGATCAATCTGGACAACAACGTCATATCATCGACTCATTTCGTCCTGACGTAAGATCAGATTCATTTCAAATACCCAAAACACAGATGAACATTGCCTCGGGCATCACAAAATTCTTCCCGTTACCGATGTTGCAACAAGACGGAAATAATTATGTGAAAGATGACACACTCTTTATCAAATGCATTGTAGATTTCACTAATCTACCAAAAGTTTTGTTGCCCTACTCGTTGAACTTAAATCCTGGACTACCAGCTGACGTGCAAAATGATATGATCAAAAGTGAAACGGAACGAAGACGAGAAAATCAGCTGCAGCCATCTATACCGATATCAACTCCGTGCGGTTAAAAAGATATTGTCGTCTGAAGGAGTAGTGTACAAACACAATCATCGAAGAAATCAGTCATCACGTTGCATCAGTCAGAAAAGGAAATCATACGTATGGAACTCTCTGTGATTCGCGTATTATGCTGAATGGAGACAGTAATACCCATGGAACACACCTGTTAGTTTTCTTTAACTTAGATCTGTCAAATTCTGTTGCAATATTCCTTGATTCGATTGCATCTGTTGATTGCTGCGTCAGTCAAAACTAAGTAATAAAATCATTCACTTTTATTGTATTGCGCCATTGCATCCATCAGTTTTTCTAAACTTATGATTTCAGTCACGTTCAATGCATTATCCATTTTCATATATTCTGTTAGTTTCTGAATTGGTTTATCTTTCCATCAGTCAGTTTGCAATGAACAGTTCACATTCCATTATTAATCTTTTTAAGAGAGGAAATTCAAAATATCGTACCCATGGTAATCAGTTTCAGCTTTCGTTCTAAAATAACTCCATTCTTCAATATCAGCGAATGAAGTTTTATACTTTTCAATACGAATTTCCATTTCAAGAAGAAAAACTTCTTTTTCATGTACATCCAGTGATTGAATTGCAAAGCCCAACGACACTTCCTTTTTTGTGCTAAAAAGGAACGGTAGTTTTCTTTTAGTCGAAAGGAAACCTTCGATATTATTTCTCAACTTAATTAAATCATTTGTAAACATATCAAGGCCACAATCGACGTTTAACATTTTAATATTTTTTAACGAACTAACATGCTCTGGATGTAATTCGACCAATTGTAAATCTAAATCTTTCAAAAAGAATCCTAATTTATAAGTCACGAAATATCCATATGCTGTTCTCTCAATGCTTTATTTATCATATGATACGAAACAATCACGTGTATACAACCAAACAGCTTTATCGTACGAATATTTTCTATCAAAATCATTATCGACTTCCAATTCGCTCAAATTACCGGGATATTCCACTAGTAATTCACAGGTCCTTCATTTCCTTCAGACTTCATTTTCTTTTGAACTTATATTTCCCGAAATCTGCATCTAAAACTGGACAAGAAAATAGTCTCGAAACATTTTTAGAACCGAAAGCAGTTGCACAAAAAATTTCGCAATGTGCATTAGTCATTCTAGTTCAGTTTTTACGAAATAAAGTTACAGACACACATCACACATTTGGCGCTGACACAAGAATATTCGCGAACAAACTACTAAGCTCTAACATCATCCTGACGTTCGACATCACAACAGAATAATACATAGGAACAGAATAATAAAAAACGTAATGAGAAAAAGAAGGACGAAAAGAATAACTAAAGAAGATAGCTTCATCAGATCGTCGACGCATTGTTTGTCGGTAGTTTATCGAAATATGTCCAATTAGACAACCTAGCGACTGTTGAAGGATAGAAACCAGCACTTATATCTCACAAAACTAACGAGGGAAGTACCTCTTTTTCGAAAAAAATATTTTTTTTTTATTGCTGATAAATGTACATATGACTGCCCTCTATCAGGCGGATATAAAATTTCATCGCCAGGGGTTCTCTTCTCCTTCCTACCGGGCCTGGATGGACAAGCCCCATTGGGAAAATTTTGGACGTTTTCAAAAACCATGGAATATAGCAGAATTCCTTATCGAAATCAAAAGCCTAAAGGTAATCGATCATTGCGCGTCCGATGGCATGTGCAGAAACATGTGTGGCATATGTGCTAGGGTATGCCGACATATTTCATACTACAAAATGCACTTTTACCACGCTGAACTGCGGTTTTTTAGTTCTGTGTGCCAAACAGATTTGTTCAGACAAGAAACTACGTGTTGTAAGCTTTTAGATTCTCCAGCGGATCTCCAGCGGGTCTTCAGAAAGCCACAATCGAAAACTGTGGTAAAATTATTATTGTTATTATATAAATTGTGGTAAAAAAAAGAGTTATAGGAAAAATACTGAAAAACGTCTCAAAAACCAAGTTTTTTAAGTCTGGAAACCCTATAACTCGGTAAAGAAAAGTCTAAAATAAAATGCCAAAAAAATAGCTCTGCAATAGTGTCTTGAGTACCTCTGGTAAAATTTTGAACTCGATCGGATGAAATTTAAGGGGGGTCGTCATGTGGCACAATGAAGCCTGATAGCAAAAAAATAGTTATCGAGAGAAACGTAAAACAAAAAAAAGAAGATTTATTATCGAAAATTGTGGAGTTACTTCCATATCTGTTACCTAAAGCCAAAAGCTTATAGGTAATCGATCATTGCGCATCCGATGCGCATGTGCAGAAACATGTGTAGCATATGTGCTAGGGTATGCCGACATATTTCATACTACAAAATGCACTTTTACCACGCTGAACTGCGCTTTTTTAGATCTATACACCAAATAGACTTGTTCAGACAAGAAACTGCGTGTTGTAAGCGTTCGGATTCTCCAGAAGATCTCCAGCGGATCTCCAGAAAACTTCTGAATTTCTATAAGTTTCTAAGTGCTTTGGCATGATGGAATAAACCTGCTATTTTTTTCAGGCTTTATTCGTATATTGATACATGTGCTGTACGTGATCTGACGTCGTATATTCATTTTTACTTATTCTGTTATTTCTTATTCGCTTTCGAAAAGCACATGCAAAACATTCACGATGAAAATTTCACAAGGAATTATGTGTTGTGAGCTTTGAGATTATCCTTTTACCACACAAACTGTGTTTTTCCAGGTCTATACGCCAAACAGACTTGTATTTTATATGTCTCTCTCTCTTACTCCGATTTATCCATAATTTCAGACTGCGCATTATAAAAGATAAAAATACAGTTACTCTCAATTCACAAATATAAACACACTTAGCATACAAACTTGGTTCAAAATGGCTGGTAATCGCATGTGAATACGCATGTGATGAAATGAATAATCGCATGTAAAACGACTGCTCAATACTCTGTGACGAAAAGGAAAATAGCAACCATAGGAAATGACGATGAAGATGCTTATAACGAGATCGCAATTCCGTCAAGTGCTACTGTTCTATCAACCGATGGGGTGATGAAAAAATTAGAAAATAAACAACAACAAATCTCAGCGAAAGCGATAACAAGGTAACAACAAGTTTCTACTTATAAGAAGTGGGAGCACCAAAGTATAACTTTTTATTCAATTCCGGGCCCATATTTGGCATCATCCGGAAATCGCCGTCGCCACGGATTCGTATATATTAAAGTTCAGGTTCATATTGCTGATCTTCAATGATTCTTTCTTTGTCGACTAATGTTATCATTTTGGTAAATGCTGGAATATTTTTACATTGTATACTGAGTTTTTCTAAAACAGGAGTTAGTCCAATATAACAGTCATTATAAATAATAACGCTCAAATCAACCGCTAGTTGAACATGTTTTCGAATGTGATATCTCTTTTTTGAGCACAAACTCCAAATAATACGATGGAAAGTCTCATTAGGATTAGTGGTACCGCCATCCAAAACTTGACCTAAAATTTAGAGATTTTGACAGAGGAAAGAAATAGTGTATGTTAAAGCTGTTACCTAGGCTGTTTTCTGGACAAATCACCGTAAGCAGGATGAATTGCGTCGCATACAGTAGCTGCTAAATTGTGTCCTAAGAACAAACGTTGGAGATACCTCTGTAGAAATAAAGTGTATTAGGGAAAACTCTATACCTTCATGTGTGAATTTTGGATCTTTGTACATGCCACAACGGTCAGGATTGCAAAGACAATGATGTGGGGTTTGATCAGTACTTCGAAAGTGCCACCATGCAGCCCAGCATGCATTTTTCATTTTCTCTAGGTTATCTTTGTTTTCCCTTATTGCATTTTCGAAGTGTACTGTTGCTCGATATATCTTGGCATCATCTGAGAACAAATAGACATCGCAAGATAAATTATACATGGGACTTATATAAAGAGGATTACCCAATCGTCGTTTTCCTCCTATAGTTGATTTATCAGACAAACGAGTTTTTTATTGTCGTTTTATTGTTGCTAGTCGATTATGCATACGTTTTGAAAAATGATTTATGCATTGTTTTCTATCAATAATAACATTGTCTCCATACGGTTCAGCTTCAACAATCGAGACATCGGTTTTCGTGTCACCATCAGCTACGTATTGTAAATACCGTAGTTGATGCCTTTCTTCCGAGCGACAAAAGATTTTCACTATCTAGCAAGAGGGAAACAGGATAACATAAGTTTTTGGTTTTCAGTGAAGATTAGTGCCTTACTGCTGTGCTTTCCGTTCCTCCGGCAGAACCCTCATAGTCGGCTTCACATCGGCTTTTTAAATGTTCATCAAGTAATTCCTTATACTTTTCGCCATCGTTTTCTTTTATACTTAAAGAATTGAAAAGGTAGAGGTGAAACAAACTACTGTAAAAGGTGAGAAACTTTCTTGTTACCTAACAGACCACAACAAACAGAACATTTGCGACTAAGAATCTCGTAGTCCAGGACTTTGGACGGATTAGAAACGCTGATAAGAGTGCC